TATTATTATTATGCATAATACATATTGTAATCTATATTCAAGAATTTAAAAGGCATAATCAAAAAAAAATCGTGCATCAAAAGTTAAAAGGAGTACTAACAACACTTTCTCAAACACTTTTCTTTTAACATTTACTCAATAAAAATATTTACAATAAATAATAATAAACAGAAGATAATTGATTCTCCATGTTTTCATGAATTTTTTAAATTATAACCAATTTTATATTATGTAAAAGATTAAAATACTCCTTATTTATTTGTTAATTTTTAAAATTATATGAAAAGATTTGATATGCATAATTTTATTTTAAAGAAAGGTGTTAGAGAGAGTATTACTAGCCGTTTTTAAAAATTAATGATAGACCAACCATCAATCCACCCTACAAATGAAAAAAAAAAAAAAAACGTAGAGAAAGAGAGATATTGGCAGCGGTTTATTTACCAATAGAAATAATATTATGGAGGAATTAGTTTGGCTAAATTCACATGGTATAGTATAGTGTTTATGTAGACCAAATTTGATTTAATTAAAGAAGTGCATGAACTGATTTGACTAAACTTACATAATATAGGAACATTCGATGATTTTTACCAAAAAGAAAAAGAAAAAAAGAAAAAGACATAATAAACCTTATAAAAAACAAAAAACAAAAAACAAAAACCCATCGAGCCGGGCCAGATACTAGTTTAGGTAAAAGTCCATACCCTAACTGAACCTAAGCCTAAGAAAAGATGGAAATATATGTTAGGTCGTTCTTTAATTTTATAGGGGCTTGTAATTGCCATTGGGCTTTTATTTCTTTTCCGCTGTCTGCCATTGACTGGCCAACGTCCCAGATTTTGACAGGTATCCAGTTGACCAGTCCCGGTGCCCCCGTTCTACGTTCGTAAATACAGCTTAGCAAACTTGACAAGAAAACAATTATTTGGGTCAGGAATGGTTCAACCAAGGCCCTGGTAATGGCAAGTAAATAATAATAATAAATACTCGTGCATAAAAGGATTGACATGTGTTAATGGAAATACAGAAAAGGAACTCAGGGAGCTGGGGCTAATTTACAAGAACAAGTTCTTTGGACCAAAAAAAAAGGAATAGATTCTGGTTCAGTACCTCTAGAATGGTACTATGGCATTGACAAATTCAGTGGAGAATGGTTACAGAGAATTTTCTCCCATGCTATGGCATTTGAATTTGATGCTATATATGGTGGCTTCACAAAGATAACCCCACCCCACCACCACTGACCAGACAAAAAGTCAACTTTCGTAATGCCTGTAAATGGCCATGGGGCTGCCAATTTTGCGTTCTAGACGTAATTACGAGAATCAAGAAAATGGTGGTAGTGGTCACTGAATTCAAATAATGAGAATCTATTGCCACGGCTCACTAATTCTAATGTTCAGTCTTGACTCTAAGGCAAGAAGCTTCAACAATAACTCCCGTATATAGCAATTAGCAATTTGCTTAAAGAACATATATACTCTAGACGAAAAAGAGTAATTCTATATATGTGTGTGTGTGAAAGAAAGAAAAAAAATCTAAAAATACATATAGTTTGTTGAATTGATAGGATTTATAGTATTTTCCATTTTAAGATCATAATCTCATATTTTTCTTGATATTTAGCATTTTTTTTATTGGCATTAATGGAGTCCTATATGCAGGTTAGAAGCTAAGTATGTTTTATCAATTTGACAATACGTAATTTCAAAATATGACAATATGAATTGCTTTTTGGGACTTAGAGTTGATGACATTTTCTACAATACCCAAAAAAGTTGACCATGTACCCTTTCAAGTTTCAATGCCTGCATTAGTCAAGCGTTTTGGCTTCTACGTTCTATCCTGGAGGCATGTCGATGGATGAGTTGCTTTCACATGCAAATTGATCAACAAGGCAACGAGCTAAACTCTCTCTCCTTTTTTTCCTTTGTTATAAAAAGAAAAAATAAAAATAAAAATAGATGCATGCACATCCAATTGTCTTAAGCAATATATCACTTAGAAATTAAGTGAAAGACCAAGAAGATGGGCTGTCACAGTAACAAAATTAAATCATATAAAAAGTAATCAGAATTGAAGGGGAAAAAAGATTGAGAGTCAATTATATATATATAAAAAAAAGTGATCCCTTTGTGACTAAGCATTTGGACCTTTCAAAAGCGGACATATCTATAAGAGTAAACACCTTCTAACCCTCTATAAAAAAAAAAAATATATATATATATATATATATATAAAAATACTGATATTTGATTTTGAGAACCAAAAACTTGGTTGGTGTTAAAAGGGGCTAAAATGGTTTTGATGAATTATTGTTTTATTGGTTTGATGTCAAACCGATTATGCGTTGTTTGTTGAATTTGTTTTTTTTTTTTTTTTTTTTTTTTTTTGGCAGTGAGGGAAGATGAAGGGGATATGCCATGGTTTTTGTGAAAAAGAAGTCTGAAAGGGATTTTTTTAAAAAAAGAGAGAGCGAGAGAGAAGGATTTGTTCCATGCAAAAAGGTATTTGATTGTGGTTTTGTGATGTACTTACCGTTAATAATGATGTGGTAACGAAGTTTTGATCTTTAATCTACGATACAAAGTTGTCTTCACTGTAGGGTGATAATAGAGGCTGAGATAATAGGTCCATCATCATTTTTCTAACTCTATAAAAAGAGTGCCACATGTAGGAGGAAAATAATAATAATAATAATAATAATAAATAGAATTGAAGCTAAAATTGAAATTAACTAGCTAAAGTACTTAAATAGAAATTTAATAAAAATTTAGGTACTGAATATAATGTTTTCTCTTTTCTCATTTTATAATTTTTTGTTTAATATTAGAATTGGAGATTCCAGATCAAATAAATAAATAATAGATAAGTAATATATATAGTTGAAAATTGACTATTCATCATAAGATTTAAGTATTTTGAATAGAATTCAATCTCTATTATCTAAAAAGGCTTTCACTTGAAAGAGTGTGTTAGAATTTAAATTTTTATATTGAAATGGTAATTTTTTTGATATAGTATTAAAGTTTTAATAACTAAACAATCATAAGTTTAAATTTTATCATTCTCACTTTCTCTTTTAATTAAAATATAATTAAGCACAAGATAGTGAAGTCTTGATAACCGAATAATTACAAGTTTAAATTACACCACTTTTATCTTTTCTTCTAATTAAATAGTATAAATCATATTTTAGGGTTTAATCTAATAGTTTAAAATTTTGAATTGAAATGTTCATTTGATGGTCACGAGACTAACAATAATATCATTAGTTTCTTAACATAGAGATTGCCACGTAAAAAATAAATAATAAACTTGAAAACTCAAATAGGTAAAATTGAATTGGAGTATTCATATATGAATTTAGTTAATGATTAAGTATTTGTTTATTTTTTTAGTTATGTTTTTAAAAATTACATTCGGAAACAAAAACATAAAACCTATTTGTTTTCTAAAATGGTGTAAAAACCAACATCCGCTTGTCTAATTTTTCCAAAAGCAAACAAAATAATTTTACAAAATTGCTTTAGGGGTTGTTAGATTTGTTTTTTTTTTTTTTTTTTTTTTCTGAACATCAAAAATTCAAAACAAATAAATTTTAAGTTTCTATTTTCAAAAATTTGAAAATAGAAACAAAAAATAAAAACCACAAATAATGCCAAACCATCTCTAAATAATTAGTTTTCATGATTTCATAATCTAAATCTCTATGTTTTTTAAATCCATTTGTAACTTTTTTTTTAGAAATTGAAACAAGAAGGAAAAGAAAAAAAAAGATTAAAAGATAAAAACATTAATAAGAAAAGAAGACATTTTTGAACAAAATATGACTAAAAATGAACATAGTCAATAATATAAAAAATTATCCAATTATTTTTTACGCTAGATCAATTAATTATTTGTTTTTAAGAAATTGTAGAGACTAGTTATAATTACTTTTTTCTTTTTTCAAAAAAATATAATATAATATATAAAAAAATTAAATCATTAAATTTTGACTACCGGAACAATTGATTTTGTTATGTTTTTAAATAGATGAAAACGACACAACCAAATTTTGTATGAAATTTAAAAACAAAACACCAAAAACCATAAATGTTACTAGTAATGTTAAAAATTATGTGGATGGGAGGGGATAGGTGAACAAAAATGATTGGTGTGGTAAGACTTGGTAGATTTGATTAACGAATTGGTTAGACTTGACAGAACAATAAAATTAACCATCAAATAGATTCAATTGTCTATGAAGAGACACCTCGACATTTGAATCAGTAAAAAAAAGTATTTAGATATTAAAGTTACCTTAGACTTGAGAACATAGCATATTTATATTTGTTTTGAAATGTTTGTGTGGTTAAAGCTTTAAATAATATATTTTCACTTAATTGATATATTTTAAAATAAATCAATTCTTCCTTTCATTTTTTATTCGTCGCGCTAACAAAAAATCAATATTTTATATATATATTTTTAAAAAATATAATAAAAAAATACTGAAATGAGATAACTATTAATAATTTTTTTTTAAAAAAAATGATATAAAAAGTAAAAAAAAAAGAAAAAAAGAAGATTTATTAGAGGGCAAGGGAGAGAGTAGATATTATGGCTATTAAATTATGCATACCTTTTGGTAGATTGGTTAATGCATGCTGACTTGGACTGTTATTATCAACCTAAATGGGCTGAGTTCCTAACTGAATTTTGCTTCGTTACGTAAGAAAATGTTGCCTCGTAATCCAATAACAAGAAATGCTAATATATGCAATACAGGTCATCAATTATGCAAAAAAATCATGACCAATGACACCACACGCAGAAAGACAAAACCCCACCTAATCACAATTCACAGACTAGCTTTGAGACTCCATGCTTTTTAACCAGTAATGCTAGCATTGAATGACTAAACAACCTCTTCTTATTACCGCCACCACACCATTTTAATCATTTCTTACACTTTTCTATGACCGCAGCCTCAAATCTCTCCATCTTTAGTGATGCCGTCGCAGCCACCTCTCCTCCTCCTCCTCTTTTTCATCTATCCCATTTTCGCCCTTGACTTCCTCTTTAACTCCTTCAATGCCACAAACCCGGGAGTCATTCTAATTCCAGATGCCAGGGTCGACATCTCGGTTATCAGACTCCTCAATGACACCAACCAGTACTCACTGGGACGAGCTTTTTATCCAACAAGAATTAAGATGAAACGAACCCAGAACGCAACAACTACTCTCTCTTCTTTTTCAACTTCTTTTGTCTTCTCTATATTGCCTGATATTGCTTCAAGTCCTGGCTTTGGCCTTGCTTTTGTTCTCTCTAACTGGACTAACCCACCTGGTGCTATTGCCAGCCAATACTTTGGTCTTTTTACTAATGCGACTACACCCTTTGTGGCTCCACTTTTAGCTGTTGAATTTGATACTGGGCAGAACCCAGAATTCAATGATCCTGACAGGAATCATATTGGTATTGATTTGAACAATATTGAGTCTGCTAATACTGTGCCTGGTGGATACAATTCTTCTGCTGGTTTTGTGCCTGTCAGCATGGGTAATGGTCAGAATGTCCGAGCGTGGATTGAATTTGATGGGGACAATTTTGAGATTAATGTTACTGTTGCCCCTGTTGGTCTTTCTCGTCCATCTGTGCCGACTCTTAGTTATAAAGATCCTGCGATTGCCAATTATACATCTGAGGAAATGTATGTCGGGTTTTCTTCTTCAAAGACTACTTGGGTTGAGGCACAAAGGATTTTAGCTTGGAGTTTTAGTGATACAGGTGTTGCCAGAGACATAAATGTTACTAATTTGCCTGTTTTTAGTCTACCTTCTTCCTCGAATTCATTATCAGCTGGTGCTATTGCTGGGATAACGATTGGTTGTGTTGTTTTTGTTATGATTTGTGTGTTTGTGGTTTATTGGTTTTGGTATAAAAAGACGTTGAGAGATTTAGAAGAGGATGAGATTGAAGATTGGGAGCTTGAATATTGGCCTCATAGATTTTCCTATGAAGAATTGAGTCAAGCCACCAATGGATTCTCCAAAGATCAGCTTTTGGGTTCCGGTGGATTTGGGAAAGTGTACAGAGGAAAACTCTCCAACAATTCTGAAATTGCAGTCAAATGCGTGAATCATGACTCTAAACAAGGCCTAAGAGAGTTCATGGCAGAGATATCGAGCATGGGCAGGCTACAACATAAGAATTTAGTCCAAATGCGAGGCTGGTGTAAAAAATCCAATGAGCTTATGCTTGTTTATGATTACATGCCCAATGGCAGCCTCGATCGTTACATATTCCAGAAGCCTAAGAAGCTACTGAATTTGCAACAACGCCGCCAAGTCCTTGCTGATGTAGCTGAAGGATTAAACTATCTCCATCATGGCTGGGAGCAAGTAGTTGTGCACAGGGATATTAAATCAAGCAATATATTGCTAGATTCTGATATGCGAGGCAGGCTTGGAGATTTTGGCCTTGCAAAGCTTTATAGTCACAATGAAGTTCCTAACACAACTAGAGTAGTCGGCACATTGGGATACTTGGCTCCTGAGTTAGCAACAATGGCTATAGGAACATCCGCGAGTGATGTCTATAGTTTTGGAGTTGTGATATTGGAGGTGGCTTGTGGTAGAAGGCCGATAGAAATGGGGTCAACCGAGGAGGAGGATTCAGTGCTGATTGATTTGGTGAGAGATCTACATGCTAAAGGGAAGGCGGTGGAGGCAGTGGACGAAAGAATGAAGGGGGAATTTGGGGTGGAGGAAATGGAGATGGTGTTGAAGCTCGGATTGGTTTGTTGCCATCCTGATCCCCAGAGGAGGCCTAGCATGAGGGAGGTGGTGGCAGTTTTGCTTGGGGAGGATGTGGCTGCCGCACCTGCTGAGTTGTTGAATGTTTTGGCAAGTAGTGGGGGGCGGTGATGGTAGTATTCATGACGGTGAAGAGGTGGCTCTAACACTACCGGAACCGCAGGTGTGAATATAGTTTTTATTTTATTATTATTTTTTTGTTGAATTTGTGGTGGTAGATATTGAAGTTATGGCTCCTTAATTTGATTGAATTTTTGCGTTAACGTATAGAAACATATCATTTTTCAACCTTTGATAATCCACGGTTGGTAAATTGTGGCTGCTAAGTCCAGAGTTCGACTTCTAGCAGTATCCTTTGGAGATTCTCTGCTAATTTTTTATTTCTGGGCATTTGTAATTCAATAAAGACTGGTTAAAAATTCATCTAAGAATAAGCATGAGTTCGTTCTACTCACGTAAATAAACATTTGGAGGAGGTTTCCTTGGTTTTTACTTTATGCAGACAAGTAGCCCTGAACCTTTTCCCTGTCTAATGATTTTTGATCCTCATCTAATCGAATATAGGAATTGGACCATTCCAGAGGAACAAATATGTAGAAATATAGAGTGGACAGGTGACTTGGGAACTAACCATGCAACGCATAAGCCCCTTTATCTCTTCAGATTCCTTAGATGATAGAAACGGAAAAGGCATAAATGGATCATTATGTGGTCAAATTAGAACGTGGAGTCTACATTCATGTTGTTTGAGGATCATTATGCGGTCATATTGTTTTGTGCAAGATGTGGCCATGCATATAACAAGACAATTCTTTCCCTTACAAATCGAAGGTCTACGAACTGATGCGCAAGATCCCATTAGCTTGTGGGACTTGGATCTTTTGGCCAATAGCCCGCATCCTACATGTTTAGTCTCTTGGATCGAGTGAGAAAAGTGTCCTCTTAGATCAAAGAAGTTTATTCCCATCAAAAAGGGAACTGTACATAATAAAATGTTGCAAGTTGGCTGTCCCAATTTCTTTTCAAAACCTTCTGAGCTTTTGTAATTCTGTGGACCCTTTGTTAGAAGCTTGAATACCCTCATGACTAGGATAATTATCAATTGGTTCATGAGCTTATATTGTGTGATTATACTCCAGATAGCATGATCTGTAATCAGGAATCTATTCCAAGAACAAAATATCGTTAGATTAGAATTGTGAAATAATCATTGAATCCGTGCCATGGCATGTCATAAAGTGGTGCTTTCTTCTTTTTTCAATGTGCATACTCTTTCTTCTTTCAAATAAACTAATCAATCATATATGATGTCGTAGAGATTTCTATTTCTTTCTTACATACTTTCATTTTATTAAATTCTGTCAAACATGTACTTGGTTTATATTCTTGGAATATAAGGTATATCATGGCATACTGTTCCTGGGCTGTATCTTGTGTCCCTTTCCTCACCATATTGTATGATAATTTATGGGGTCACATTGTGATCCGTAATTACGTGTTACACGTATGGAATGAGAAACATGTGGTTAATTGAGGGGTTTTTGGATAATTTATTGCTTGTATGATACCCATTGGCAACCATGACTATCTTATCCTTGCCATTTGGAGTGGCTACAGAAAATTAGAATGACAATTGAAAAAGAAAGTTCCTGTTTAAGCCAATCCAATTATGACTTTTGGTGATCGTATGTGGAAACTGGGTTGGCTCTATATCTTGCTTCCATTTGCGTATGAAGTTTTGTTTGTGGATTTTCCACTAGAGAATCAATGGTAAGTATGCGTGCTTCTGCTTTTAAGTACGTATGAATTCGTGTTGAAGTTCTGTTGGTTAAATTAAAAAGTGGAGCTAAATTGATGAAGACCCCTCACTTGTTGTCAAGAATATCTCAAGATGGTAAAACTAGCTTGATTTCTTGATCAAGTCCATGGTAAAAGGAAAAGGATTCAAACTGGATGATTTTCCTTCTTGTTTTTTTCATGGGGATTAATGGCCGAGGTGGTGTTAGGGAAATGATTTAAGTCCCATAACTTCACGGTAATCTTTACTGAAATCTGGATTTTGAGTTGCTCATGTTGTTGTGGAGCTGCCATACTTGACCTTGAAATGTCTTATTGGCTGCTAAACTTGATTCCCCCTTCGGATTAGGATTTAAGTACAGTTTGGCCAAAAAGCTTCATAACATCCAATAATTTTAAGCCATACCACATAAATGACTAGCACTAATGCCTCGTTTGAGATGTACCTAATTCCATGTGCAAACGTTCATCATAGAGCCACATGAACATTGTATGCTAATATCCTGTCACAGGACAAAGCGGACGCCTCTGTTACTAACAGCCAAATCTCCCTCAACTTGGCTCAGAAGAGGTTGAGGTAAGATTATTCTTTTGAAATTGGGCAAATGAATTTATAAAACCAACAAATTTTAATTGTAGTTTGGCCCTAATCCATTCAACTTATCTAAATAAATGCACAAATCTTTCAGTTGAACTGCTAAAAGCCCTTCCACAGTCTAACTTCAAAATGGTGCTACAATAGAAATATGGTACAAAGTGGAATGGAGGCATCCATTATTTTAAAAGCCACATACTATCAGTTACATTTTGGGCAAAAGTTTTTCTGTGTCTGAATAGTGTATATTGCTGGTGAGACTAAAGAGTGAAGTTGAGGGAGTGGAAACTGAAGTATGGTTTCTTTCCCTTTGCACCAATGTTGAGTCCTTGAGACTTCAGCTGGCATAATGATGCCACTGACTCCTTCAAACTTTCCGGTCCACACACCAGTACTCCAATATCAGATCCACCAGTTTCATTTGGAAACTTGGAGAATATATCTATTTACAACAAGTAATTACACAAACTGTAATTAGAAACAGGAAGTTCAAAATATAGATTCTGCAAGAAATATAGGAAAAAGATGATAAAATAATAGTACCTTGAAAGTTGGGCCTTCCTCCAAAATGGATTTCATGTTCCTCAACAGTGCTTCTTTTCTCCACTGAACTTTGTTCTGTGGCTTTACCTTGTTTTGAAGACACAGGTGGGATATCTTTCTTGAGTCTTTTCCATCTCAAAATGATTGCTACAAAAGTGTTGCATGCTAGAGCTATGATGAAAGAAGCTAGGAGAAGTAGATCAACAACTGAGGAGGGAGTCTTCTCTTTTGAGGTCTTCTTATCTGAGGGAACAACCATCTTTTCTGAGGCAGCACTCATCTTTTCAGATGGAACAAAAATGTGATTGAAGCAAATAAGAGAAACTAAGAACTTAATGGAGGATAATGCGGCCATGGCAGCCATCCAAATTGAACTTTCTAGTCCACGTACTGCATAGTTTGAGCATTTGGTGCTGAAGTTGACTGTTCTCACTAGAGATAAGTCGTTCATTAATCCTCTCACTGTTGCGTTATACCTCGCTTCTTGCGTTACATACACTTCTATCTTTAGAGACGGTTGTGTGGATGGCTGGTTCTGAAGTTGAGAAGAAACTGAGTTTAATAGGCAAATATCCTGTGATTTCTTCACAACATAGACGAGCAGAATTCGTGTGGGGAATCTGTATCTGCTGCTGTTTACATAAGCAATTTCTTTTAAAATGCTGAGAAACGGGGTTATCCCAGCTCCCCCAGCAATCAGAAGTAGACTGTCATGCCTGCAAATAATTCTTAAACTAGTGACAATCTCGAAAAGCATCTTTACTTCACTATCAGTTCAAGTAAAAATCTTCTTCTGCAATACTAAGTCCTTTTTCGCAAACCTTGAGAAATCCAGTGAAGCAGGTCCGTAAGGGCCTTCAATTGACAAAGGTATAGAGCTCATAGCACCAGTATCAGAATCTAACTCTGCTTGTATCATGTCATAGAGAGAACTTGTCCAGCCCTCATTGCATTTTACTACAACAGACATCGTGTGATCGTCAACATTAGAGCTAGAAGTTATACTGAAGGGATGCCACTGAAACCTGGAAATACTTGGTATCTTCATGTATATAACACTTGTTGGGGCATACTTCAATCCTGCAATTCGTACGAAAGCCATTTGATGAGAGAAATTTCACTGTCATAACACTAATATACACGATTGTAACCGGGAGGATGAAAAGTTTACTCGGATCCTTGGGCAGCGTAAGTTCTATGGCTTTGCTGGGGAATAGGAATATTCGTGCTGAGAGAACGCAAGTTCCTGGTCTTGATTGTACGATTCGAAGTAGCTTGTCAAGACCAAAGATAAATATCCCAGGGAAAACAGTGTAGAAGTGCCGATCTCCAGCATGGAACAAGAAGAATATTAGGAAGACTGTGTACAGATGGTGTGTGTAGTAGAACATTTCAAATCTTCTCCTCCGTATTGGAGGAAGTGATGTGATCCAGATTACTAGTCCTGTAACAAGAGCTATCTCCCCTGCCAGGTATATCCGTCCTGTTTTCTGCCATCTCCACATCTGTTATTGAAAACTCATACCAAAGAAATTAAACAATGAAAAACAAGAAAGGAGTAGTTAAATTTTGGTAACAGAAGATACAAAATTCAATCACAAAACTGCAAGTTGAGCCAGCGAAACAGACTGCAACTTTTGTTTCAAGAGGGAGAGCAGAAAGAGAATCCAATACCTCATCTTGAATATGGTGGCTGACACCCCAGATGAACAAAGTGCTTGCACCATGAATAGCGGCAAAAAATATCATTGAAGTCCCAAGCCATATATGGTATCTTACTGAAGCTTCAAACTGGATGCCAAGTAACTGAAATAAAGCAAGGCCCCTTAAAGTAGGAAGAAGAAGCAAAGCCAGGCAGATTTCTGCTAGCAATCCGAAGCGGGTTGCCACTCTTAGATACTTGAGCTGCCATCTGAAATACAGGTGAACATCAGCAATGGTGTTACTCTTGAATTTTACCATCCACCATATGTTAGTTAGGATTGGTAGAACTCACAAATCTAACTTCAGTGATTTGATCGGCATCAACTTTTTGAAGTCATGACTGATGCGGGCATAATAAGTCCAAGCTAGGAGAAGGAAAAAGAGGAACACTGCTAGAATCTCTATGCTAGATAAAATTCCCACAAAGCTGTTTACCACCACAGGATTTGAGAAACCAATAGTTGCACTTCTTGTTGGTCTGTCATCCATGTTAATCATGAGAAACAGCAAGCCATGATTTCTAGCGACAATGATCTAATCTCACAATTATATTTTACCTGCTTCGTGGAGGTTCCCTCGAAACCAAATTCAAGTAAACTAGTCCAATTATGGTCAGGGCAATTAAAGGAAATGTGTATACAGCAAAGTTGAGACCTGCAGTGCATTCAATTTGAGCTAAGCATGCATACCAATAAATGCAATTGCAGTGATGAATGTTTTACATTTTGCAGTAAGAAAGAGCATACGAACGACAACTCTCGGTTGATTCCATGAATTAATAGCTGATGATGAAATATATACGAAAAAGATGATTTAGCAATAAGCAAAAACCAATTCTGATGATATCTTTAAATACATACCATAATAGCCAAACACTGTATGGCTAGCACTATCTTCAGCTCCTTTCCATTTTCTTGTCCACAGATTAGTAGGCTTTAGAAGCCAAAGAGCAATCCAACCAGCAAATAGTATGACCATCAGCACTTTAAGAACAGCAAAAAGAATGGCCTTGGCCATGTCTGCTTCCGAAGAGTGTTGCAGGAAGATTTTTCCTTTAATTTCTCTCCACTTCATTAGAAAGGTACTCCTTATATAAAGAACATTGAACTACAATTGACCCTTCAGACCCCTAGAAGATTGCACATAGCCCCACCACTTCTCACAAGTGCTAATCACTTAAATGGTGATTTCGTTATGGTTGTTAAGTGCACTCCCGATTCCATTGCAGTATGATCTGCAATATCTGAAATTGATACGTATGTGTTTATATGATTTTCAGATTTCAGCAGTCTAATAATATTTTCCACTAGACAAAAACTACAAGAAGTCGACATCCAGATTTAGTTGGATGAATGGGAAGGGCCGAGAACGATGAGAAGAGATCTTAATTCATACAGATGACATCCATAGATTCTGTTCATTTAATTTGCACTTGGTCATAAGTTATCAACTTTTGTTGTCGAATGACAGCTTTACCTTTCTTTTATAATCATTTTTCAACTCTAGAAATGATCCCTGTGTCAGATAGTGGGCTAATGGTCCACCCACACTAACTTTAATTCCTTTCATATAAATATTCTTCTCCTCCTCTCCTCACATAATTTGGCTCTGCTCTTGGTCAATTTTGGAATTTATCGTAACTTGAAAATACAACAAATTGCGTGGATAGATGATAAAATTTGTCATGGATTAAGTTTACAGCTTAGAGGATTCAACTTCAGGATTTGTCCCTTCCATGCCTAACAATCCTATCCTGCAAATAAGTAAACCATAAGATTATGCAAATAAGCTGTGTGGGCCAACTTGAAATAGAATTCATACAAAGTGGGGGATAGAGTCTTCTATTGATGGCTTGATGGGATGCTCTAAATAGGATTTCTCAAGCTTATCAATTTAAATTAAGCTTATGCCACTCCTTTATTAATTTCAGTTGCTCATATCCATTATGTTGTTGCTGTTTTATACTTCAAACTTTAGAGGAGGGAGGGAAGAACAGTAAAGAACATATGGATATTGATAGAGGATCCTTATGACGAGGTATGAGCGTCTCCCCTATTGTTCCTAGAAAGGGGGTGTGGAGTCAGGCCTTAGGTGACGCAAGAACAGACCATTATTAGGGCTTAGCAATAATTAGAGCATATCTGTGTAAAGCAATGACAGTTTCCACTATTCATAAACAGTTCCTGGACCTCAACAGTTCATCGTGGTCATCCCCTTTAGTATCTTTTATAATTATTCTATGAGTGTAAGCCCCTTGCACAGATAACTTACCTTGAATCAATAAAATTAGCAGTTTTGAGGTCTCCTCCTTGCCTCGTGGACTCCAGATGTTTAACTTTCAAGTCTAGTCGTAGCATAGGCCTGTTGATCATTACTTTGGTGGCTCTCTTTGATCACCTCCAGAAATATTGACTTTCTTCCTCAAATACTTGTAAGGTCTTTGTTCTTTTGAAGCACTGCATCATGCCAATAAAAAAACTGAATTAATGTTCCATTGCCATAGATAGCAGCATCTGTAATTCACTTCCAGTTCTTTAAAGCTTAAGGTATTATATGGTGCAGGCTTACAAGGATAGCACAGAACATAAAAGTGGTACTGACTTAGAAAACCACAGTACAGTTTGCCACTATGTTCCCAGTGAAATGGCAAACCAAAAACATTATAATCGTGTCATGTAATTTGACCAACTCAATTTCAGAAAATACAGGATTGTGCACTTGCTTCATTCTAATCTACTTCTTACTCGGCTGATTAGTATTTTGGAAGAGTTTCTACTGCTCAAGCAATTGACAATCCACTTACAATTGCCATCGAGCAGAATATTTATCTATTCATGCTTCCGAGCATGGTTTTAAACAAAGGCCATTATATAATGGTTGCCATTATAGGAACTCTATCGCCGTGTCACACAAATAAAGACTTTATATTTATATTTATTTTTTTCAAAAATTTTAATCTATTATATACTTTTTCGGATGTTATTCATGTGAAATTTTACATTTTAAAGTTAAAATGTATTTTATTAGTTTTTGGAAATGTTAAGATGTTCGAAGTGTTAGTAACCTTTTTTTTTTTTTTAACAAATTCAACTATGATTGTATGATATAAACTATTTGATATGTTATTATTAGGTTTAATTAGTAAAATTGTTAAAAAATATGAACCAAAATAAATTTATTAACAATTGCTAATGCATTTACAACCACAACTATTATTTTACGATTGTGACTCGCGATTGAGATGACAACTGTTTTTACAACCGTATCTATTATTTAAACTATCTTACAATTGTTAGAATATATATATATATATATATATATATAATGGAGCATTTTCGTATTAGTTTTTGCATCAATCAAGCCAAACTTGATATAACTAAAAGATAATTATGACTAGTTATCAGTAGATAATAGGAATTAAATATTGGTTTTGACCAAATCAAAGAACCTTTTTATCGTTAGAACACATCTCTTGATGGTATGTGAGCTTTGTTTTGCAACTTCATTCGATTAGACAAATAAGATTCAGACTGGTAAGCTGATACTTAGTACTTGATTTCGACATTTTTTTTCCCGAATTGGAGCACATTACATATTTGCAGCATTGCAGCTCCAAATAAGTTGCAACATGACATCTTCCCAAATAACTTTCCATGGTGCAGCTTCTGTAACCAAGATTTGGTGGCCATTGATTTTCTCGGCCATCATCTTTCTATTGAAATCTTTAAATAAATGAGTAAATATTCTCTGCTAAGGATGTATCATTACTTGGATCTATCATGCCTGCAGCATGGGAGCAAATTGACTTGTACTCACGCAAATGGACTGCCCTTTTTATTTTAATTTTTTTTGCATGGAGAGTAAAAGACAAGCACTGGAGAACAACTGAACCTGTACAAGTTGGCACTGGGTCCAAATTCTTGTATTTGTACTCAGGGACAGTCTTTGAAGGACTTTGTTTATACCCACCAAGGAGTTTTAAATATTTAAAATCACCTTGGAATTTTCTGAACAAGAAATTATCCTCCTTAGATGGTGGAATATTAAAATAAGAACCTTGCCGAATTGTTGTTTACTTGTAATTGGATGGCTGAGTTGGGCAGCACTTATGATGGAATAGGACCTTTCTGCCAGACACAAAGGTGCAGAGGGAAATAGAGACCCCTTCAGCCAGTATGAAACAATCAATAGATTGCATTGAATCATCTTTTTCCATCTGCAGGGTTGGTTAAAATCCAAGAAAAAGTTGTTTTTAAAATCAAAAACAGAAAAAGCTGATCTATTAATTAAGAGCCTTGTTATATGACCTTACGCAGGTACACTTTTTCTTTGATTGCAATCTGAGGATCATTATGTGCCTAACAATAGGTAAAACGAAAGCTGTGGTTTCGAATGTGAGGATACTACACAAGATGCTATCTTCTCAAAGCAAGGTCAATCCTAATGACTAGACAATATGGAGGAGGGGAAAAGCAAAAGGTTTCTTTTTCTCTAAAAAGGACTTTTAACAAAAGAGCAATGGTCTTATGTGTGACATATCCAATAGCCTACAAAGCTTGACAAAAGAGAATCTCCTTTTCTTGTTTTCCTTTTTATTTTGTGCCCTTGAGAGCAACGACCAATTCCTTAACTGCCAGTCTTTCACTGGCACCAAGCTCTCGTTATCTTCGCTCTCAAAAAGACCACCTATCTCTCTCACATAATCTATGTTGTTTATTTCTGTCTAATCTATGCTTGTGTGATACCAAGAGTTCGAGATGGAAGAAGAGAAATATGTGCCTGCAAGTTCTATGCCGTACAGTGCACGACATGATTCGCCAGAAATTGTGGAGATAGGAGAGGATAGCAAGACTATTACTAACAGCATAGATGGAATCAATAACGATGTTTATGTAGCTGTTGGTAAGAATGACACAGATGTACTGAAGTGGGCTCTAGATCATGCTGTTTCGCCTGGAGCTCGCGTTTTTCTTGTCCATGTATTTCCTCCTCTGACATATATCCCTACACCAGGTAAAACTTCATATTCTACGTCTGATAGAATCCATTATCAAGTTGTTGTTGATGATGTTAAATTACACAAGTTTAGAGGGATGAAATTCTTGCTCTTCCGAGGAAGGAAAGTTGTGGATGCTTCTTCCAAAGTAAACTGATGTAACAACAGCACATCTGATCAACTAAAATAATGAACATCTGCTAATCAACACGTTAAACTAGTCATTCAATTTACTGGTATGGCTAGCATAACTAAATGACAGCGATTTTGTTCTGATTTTTCTATCAAAACCTTGGAATTATTGAGTCCCTAAGTAGCAGTTCATTTTTTATGCAATCGACCATTTACGAAGATGACCAAAACTGATGCAGGGACAATCTGGTTAGGCAAAACAGGCTTAGGCATTGTTTAGGACCATCATCACATTGCTATCTGATTAAGAAGAAATTATAAAGAGCAGTATTCGTTTTCCATCAATGCATTGATGGTTTTACTTGAATCATTAGAGATCATAAAGCTGTTGCCTGCTAGGCTGTGGTAATGCTCTATATAAACAAGTAGGGTGAGATTTTCTCACCTGCCATTCCCCTGAATTGTAGAACATGGCAGGTCTTATTAACTTACTCTATCAAAGACAGAACAGAAAAAAGAAAAGAAAAGGGACAATGGCTTTGACCTTTTCAATTGTTTGTTGACAGTTGGAAGATTATCTAGGAGCCAATTAAGCCAAGATCAAGCGAGATTTTACATTAATGAAGAGAATAACAGAAGAAGGAACCAGCTGGAAAAATACATTCGCTTGTGTGCTGATGCCGAGGTGCAGATAATGGCCACTCTAATTTGCTACTCAGTAACACATGATTCACCAAAAGCATTGATATGATCAGAAGTTGTTTCATGTGACAGGTGACAGTGGACACGATGCTCCTGGAGAGCAATTTGACTGCTAAAGCTATTCTAGAGCTCATTCCTGTTCTCAACATCACCCACCTTGTCATGGGAAATAAAGGCTTACCTCGCCCAATGTACAGATGCTTGTTTTCTATGCAGCCTCTCATGACACATTTGTTGTGTTTTTCTGAGATTTGAACAAATCTAGGTTCTAGCAGAGAAAGCTGTTCATCCTAGTGCCAATTTAGCATATTTTTCATATACACCAATCTATGCTAATGGATAACCTAATTGACTAGTATAACTCTATGCGACACTGTCATATACTTGCAGGCCTTAATTACTAACGATTAGTTTAAGTTAACGATTTCACTTCCACCCTTGCAGGCTAGTAAGGAAAAAGTTGGGAAAGGGAGAATTTGTGAAGAAGAATGCTCCAGACTATTGTGAGGTTAGTATTATTCATGATGGCAAGAAGATGATGGATGGTCAGCATGAGATAGAGGCAGTGTCATCATGCCCCGAAAGACCAGATGATCTCCGCAACTCTGGAAAGAAGCTTTTGGAGCTTCCATGCTTTTCAGGCAAGTAGAAATGAAGATTACATTTTGTGCATAAGTTGATGTTATATGTAAAAGTAAGCAGCAGTATAGTAAAATAGTTGCACTATAGAGAGCCAGACTACTCAGCATTATCGCATAGAACTTGAAGGCTTGAAGCCATATATATCCTTTTTTATGCAGCTATAAATATGGACGTTAATCGGATTTAATGGGATTTAGTGTTTGCGTGCGTGCGTGCGTGTGTGTGTATAATTATAATGCAAAAGAAGCAGTTTTTCTTTCAAGGGATTACTAGCATTGATTACATTTTATAGCTTCCTATCAGTTTGTACATAGAAATGACTTTCTCTGCCTCGTCCAGTTTGTAGGAGCATGGTCAGGGATTCTTAAGATTTTAACAGGTCCAAGACAGGATCATGCAAAAAAACAGGCAGCACTGGAAAATCTGGAGCCGAGCAGCCCCAAAATTCGTAAAAAACAATGTACAAGTTGAAGGAAACAGACTCCTGTCCTGCAGGCTGTAGCCAACATTTTTTTATTCAACTTTTTTAAGCCAATAACTAACACTACACTAATCTCACTGTTTGTACTCCAAACTTATATAAATACAAATCCAAATAAGAAAAACATGTAATGTAAAGTAAACCAATGCATTGGAAGTTACAATTCTCCTCGATGCAAAATGATTATTTGTTCTTTTATATATATATATATATATATATTCAAAAAAAAAAAAAAAAAAAAAAAAACAGCAAACGATGATGAGTGAACACACAATATTTTCCCAGCTAAATTAGTACATGACTCAGGAACTAAGAAAGTGTATGTATCATTTATATTTCCATAATCGTAATGAACCAAAAAGAAAACCAAGAAAAAAATTCATAATATTCAAATTTAATAGCAAGTATGAAGTGCATTTCTTGGTTTTGAAAGTAAGTATAAAGGAATCATATGTTGAAATTTCACATAATAAACTTTGACACACTTCAACACAAAAATTCCTTTTTTTTTTTTTTTTCAATTGGAAAGTCTATGGTTTTGAGCTACTAAACGGACGTAGCCCTTCCTTTCTCATTACATAACAATCAACTTAATTAGAACCATTAGATCTTTAACCTATTTAATTAAAAAAGAAAAAACCTCTTATGTACACAACTGGTAGGCTTTTGTGTAATTTAAAAAATTCTTAATAAGGTATTTTTATTCAATTTTCACTTAATTTACCATATGTAGATTTTTTTATTTTTTGACATATTATCCAGAATTAATGATAAATTAAACAGAGCAATCATAATTCAGAATTTTTCTAGAATAAAATGACCAACTAAATAGAAAAAAGAGTAAATGCTGCGTTAAGAAAATGCGAAGAATACAAACCATAGAATGATTGATCCATTCTGCAACAATAATGACCTTCCCAGTTGGCAGGTCCCAAACCATAGACGGCCCCGTCAAAAGTTGTTCTGAATGACAAGCCGTTCGACGCCATTCCACAAATCGACATGTCGTTTACAAGCTGAAAAGGCCAAAGCGGTCTCTTTAAAGAAGAAAAATTCTTTCCCGCGATCTCATAAATAAAATTTCTCGATCTTCTTCAATTCTCCCCAAATTAGAAGGAAATCGAATAAACCCTAGCCAGCAAGCACAAATCAAATCGCTGCCTGTGATGAACCCTTACGACAACCGGTACTCCGACCCCGACTCGTATCGTCACCGTCGCAGGCAATTATATGCTCTCTGTTCAATTGAATCCATTTTTTTTACTCTAATTTTCAATTTTTTTATTTTTATTTTGGATTCTTTTGCTAACCGGTTGTTTTTCAGTGACTTAATGGACCAACAGCCTCCAGTGGGACCCCCAATGATGGGGGCCACTTACGGACGCGGTCGACCTGTTCCTTATGGAGGTGGTGGTGGTCCTCCGCCTCCGTCTTTTTCTAGTAGAGGTGGTCCCCCTCCAGTTAGTGGAGGGTATCCTGCTTTTGAGCCACCTGCTAGTGGATTCAGTGTTGGACGAGGCGGGGGAAGGGGGTTTAGTGGTGGCCGTGGGTCTAATTTTCATGGTGGGGATAGAAGAAATGATGCTGGCCGTGGGAGAGGCTGGAATTCTGGTTCCGGACGTGGTGGTGGAGGGGGTGGGAGGGGGTTTAGTAATGGTGGTGGAAGAGGAGGGAGGCATGGAGGGGGAGGTCCAAGAAGAGAGTTGGATAATATTGCACTTCCAAAGCAGGATTTTGGGAAATTGGTGCCTTTTGAGAAGAATTTCTACTTCGAGAATCCTTCGATTAGGGCTATGTCTGAACATGAAGTGGTGATATATCGTGCAAGAAAAGAGATTATTGTTGAAGGCCATGATGTTCCTAAGCCTATCCGAATGTTTCATGAGGCCAATTTCCCTGGTACGTCAATCTTTTCACATCAATGCTAATCTGGTCATTTTGAAAGTTGTGTATTTTGTTATACTGATTGATTTTATTTTACGTGGTAGATTATTGCTTACAAGTGATTGCTAAGTTGGGTTTTGTTGAGCCAACGCCAATTCAGGCTCAAGGATGGCCAATGGCTCTAAAGGGTAGAGATTTAATTGGCATTGCTGAGACTGGTTCTGGGAAGACATTGGCATACTTGCTACCAGCTTTTGTGCATGTTGCTGCACAGCCTCGATTGGGTTAGTACTGATTACTTGTTTTGTTAAGTTGAAATGTTGAGGTTGTTGTCACATTATATTTAGTTGTGTGGTATTTATTGTTTTAAACTATATTGCCTGTCTAGCACATGGTGATGGTCCGATTGCGTTAGTATTAGCGCCTACAAGAGAGCTGGCAGTTCAAATCCAAGAAGAAGCTTTAAAGTTTGGTTCACATGCTAATATTAGGAGCACGTGTATATATGGTGGTGCTCCCAAGGGACCCCAAATTCGTGATCTTCAAAGAGGTATTTTCTGTTTTGTGTAGCCTCTTACGCTATTTGCAAATCTAAGCAGATTGAGATTGGTGAAGAGTGGTAATGATTCAGGATCTGTCTTATGCCAGGTGTTGAAATTATCATTGCTACCCCTGGTCGACTGATAGATATGTTGGAAGGACAACACACGGATTTGCGAAGAGTCACATACCTTGTATTGGACGAAGCTGATCGAATGTTGGACATGGGGTTTGAACCTCAAATTAGGAAAATTGTATCTCAAGTAAGCATCTACTTTTAACTTCCACTTATAATATGGTAGCCTTACAACATAAGGATTTGCAATCAATTTTTTTTTTTTTTAATTTTAAGTTCTGGATAATCTTTTAATCATTTCCAAATAAGTTCAGTGTGGGGTTGTAGCTTTGAATTTAGTTTGGTTATTGTCTTTAAATAGTAAAGCAATATTGTCTGCTTGTGTATTTGAACAAGTTGATGCAACTTTCACCTCTAGATTGGTCTGCACTGTTAGCATGGGATCTAGTGTAATTTTTCTTCTAGTCGATCTTTGATCTAAATTCATGCATGTAGATAACTCGGATTTAAATAAATATCCTTATGGAACTAATTTGTAGGTAAGTAGTTCATGCTGAAGTATTTTGTATTTTTCAACAGAGGGCCAACCCAGAAAACATTATTACAATGGAATTACATTGGTCAGGAAGTCCTTTGACACTGAATTCTAAGAGGTCTATTTTTATCGCAGACTCGACCAGATAGACAGACATTGTATTGGAGTGCAACATGGCCCAGAGAGGTTGAAGCTTTAGCAAGGCAGTTTTTGCGTAATCCATATAAGGTCTCAGTCATAGTTGTTCCCTATTGCCGCCATAATAAATGTTTTGAGTTTATTGTAATTTGCTTGTACTATAGGTTTATTCACCCAATATTGTTGAAATTTTTGCTATGTTTAGGTTATTATAGGATCGCAAGATTTAAAAGCGAACCAATCTATAAACCAAGTTGTTGAAGTCATGATGGACCTGGAGAAGTACAACAGGTGTATTTCTGCAGCTCTTAGCAGATAAAAGTTAGTGTTTTAGCATGTTGATATAGCTGATTTAATGTGTCTTATCGATGCAGGCTGATTAAACTGCTGAAGGAATTGATGGATGGAAGTCGAATTCTGATTTTCATGGAGACAAAAAAAGGCTGTGACCAAGTTACTAGGCAGTTGAGAATGGATGGATGGCCAGCTTTATCCATCCATGGTGATAAAAACCAGGCTGAAAGGGATTGGGTCCTGGCTGAGTTCAAAAGTGGCAGAAGCCCTATAATGACTGCAACTGATGTTGCTGCACGTGGCCTTGGTAGGATCATTGTGTATAGGAGTCCTAGATCTATTCGCTTCTGTCTAGAAATTTGAAGATAGGCAAGTCAGCCGGCTGCTATCCAGTTTTCCGTGAATATAATTTGTGGTATGGGTGCAAAGCGAGCTACCAATATGCTTAATCACCTGCTGATTCCGTATTAACTTGTAAAGATGGTTCTTTACTCCAAAGGGATTTTAATGGATTGAGAGGCATGTTGGTTTCTCATATTTGCTAGAATATCCCATAAGTTTGCCTTGCTTGGAGCTACTGTAATTTTACAGCTCATGTTACATGGACACAGGGAGCACTGTCCGTTGTTATTGTGGACAACAGTTTAAGATTTTGTGGAGTATCTGTATATCATGGAGATATCATAGTATTCTGTGGGCTGGGGAAGTTGCATTTCTGTTTCTGCAGGAAGAAAAATAATCTAGAAATCTGGCTTTAGTGAGGCAGTAATTTGCATGAATTGCCTAATATGGCATGGCTCCAACTAACAGGTGTCTACGTAACATGTTTGCAAGCAGTTTTCCCCCATCCACAGTTATGGAGCTGGTTTATCTTGGCAGCCGGGTTGACTGACATATGTTTATTAAATTGTTGGATGTGAAAATAGCGGTGGAAGCTGCTCCTTATCCCTGCAAGGTTAAGGTGGGCACATTTATCTCATGAATGTGTTATCTTAAATTGGTCGCTCCGATCTTATGTGTGCAGGGATAAGAGGGTGTTTTACATTTCTAGGGCTGTGAATCAGGCTGGTCATAGTGGCTAAAAACTACTTTTCATGCTCATCCTAGGAGGTTCTGATCCAGATTTTTGTTGTCAAACTTGTTAGATTTAATTCTTAATTCTTTGAGAATGAAAATCCTGAAAGCTGAGTAATCTCTTGATCAAGGATCAAGGAATGTTTTCATCTTTCAAATGATCTCTAGTACCATGAGCCATCCTTCATAGCTGAGTTTGTCCTGCAGCTTATAGTGCTGCAATTATGCGCATGTAGCAAGCTTTATACATCAATTTTCACTTAACTTTTACTTTAATTGCTTGTAGATGTGAAGGACATAAAATGTGTGATCAACTATGATTTTCCTTCTAGCCTCGAGGATTATGTTCACAGGATAGGCCGAACTGGTCGTGCAGGAGCTACGGGAACTGCCTTTACCTTTTTCACAGAGTCAAATGCAAAATTTGCAAGAGATCTTATCAAAATTCTGCTAGAGGCAGGGCAGATAGTGCCTCCGGCATTGTCTGCTATGGGTCGGTCCTCTGGTTCTTTTGGAGGTAAAAATATGTGGATTTGTTAATAGGCTTGATTGCAAGGTCTATTCAAGGATGATGAAACTCATTTATTTCTCTTGCTCATGGGTTCTGCAGGTAACTTCCGTTCCAGAGGACGAGGAGGAGGCTTTGGCAACCGGGGGTTGTTTACAGGATCTAATACTGTGCCTCTTGGTGGTGGTAGACCTTGGTAATTTAGTGAACAATTGCAGCTTCTACTGGCGTCCTCAACAAACAAGCTTTATTTATGTCAAGAAATCTATCCCTGCAGTGGCTGCTGCCTGTGTGTCACCCTTTTGTGTTGCAAGGAAGGGTTAAGAAAATTATAGTAACAATGCCATAACTCATAAAAGTTCTGAAATTAGATGTGATGGCAATTCATATTTATGTGATTGTAACAGTAGGTTGCCGTTACTTTTGAACATAGGCGATTAGGTTCTTTGTTGTGGTTGATAAACTCTTGATTTGGTTATTCAAATATCCATGCCATTTTAATCAGCAAAGAACGATAGCGCATGTGTTTTTGTTAATGATAAATTTTCCTTTTTAAATGCAGAAAAAATGATCGGAAAAACAGCCAGTTGAATTAAGGCTAATGTTTCTTCAATTTTTCCGAGTCTTTTCTTGGCCCTTCAGAACTTGTTTGATAACTGGTTTGGTTTGTGAGTTGTTCATTGCTGTAGTAAATATTAATATTATTAATTTGATGGATAGATAAGCTTATTACTCGGCCAAAGTATCAGCTCTTGTGCACTTCCCCAAAACTGATGTATCCTCTTCCTTTTGTTGATTAATACAAGTTTCTAGGTTCCTGATAGAACTGAGGTCCGGCATTTTTTGAATGACTGGTTTTCAAAACATTAAATTAAATTAAATTAATAATTACCGATTTTCAGCAGAATAAAAACGTTGCCTGGAGGATGAAGTTGCGGTTCTTCAACAAGATATTCTCTCTTTTAACTAAACCCGAATGTGTACGAACACAACTCATCCTAGTCCATGAAATCGAGCAAGAGGACATTTGTCACGCACACACATGTTGCGAAGCCGAGTATCGTCCAAGTTGCATTCGTTTGCAGTATACGCGACAAATTGTCTAAACCCAGTACCAAAAAGGTCAGGTTATCCATAGCGCGTCATAGCTGTTCATTAATTAATCCACCATGATTGGGTTGAGAAGCTCACGATCACATGATTAATAATATGAATGGGGGAAAAAAATGTAGAAAAACAGCAATTTCACTAAAAGTTTGTGGTCGACATAATTGTTTTCTAATTGGTTGATCCTTCTCTTGTTTGGGTCTGCTTGGGAAGCAACGGGCCAAAGTCCAAGAGAAATGGGCTCCTAGCTCCAACAGCAAAATTCCCAAACTCCTGGCTTTGGAAGTGCAATATTATCCAAGCTTTGAACAATGATTTTCAAAGTCTCTAGCTTTCAAATAGTTTAACAGTAACTTCAAACCTTGAGTCGTCACTTAGCAACTTGATTAGACAGACAAGAGAGAAAAGTTAAATAGAAACACAAAAGATGAGGTGTAAGTACAGCTAGCTCCGATGAACCACTTTTGCCTTTCTTTTTTTAAGGGCACAGTCCAACTTCTATTAATATATTAACGATCTGGACCCGTCTCAAAAAAATCAAAAATACATATTTGAAAATTCATCACGAAACATTTTAAAAATACATAAATAAATTAAATTGACAGTTCAAATTTCATCTATTAGAATCTGTTTAATTGATATTACATTTACATCTTTATGTATATGATCATAACCTTGTTTTCAAAAGGTTCTAAACTCGACCTCGATATAAATAGAATGGAAATCTTTCTAAATAAATATAATATAAGGGTAATATTATTTGTTAAAAATTATAGGATAATTTACCTATTGTGGAGTTTACGTAAAAGAAAAGAAAGATAGGTATGGTGTTAATTAATTAAGAGAAGAAGTTGATATTGATCATGGCTAAGTAATATATAAATCAAGCAACTTGGGACACAACCTGATGAAGCAAAACCCAACTCCGTATCATAGCTGTCAACTACTGTATTAGACAGAGACTGAAAATCCAGTAATGACACTTTGTCTATTTTATTTTAGTGTTTTTTTCAGCTTTAATTAGTTACTGATTTTGTATGATTAAAAGTCATCAGAAATCTTGAATTTTTCTCATCCCTTTTCGGGAATTATAAAAAATATTAGTCTCCCCATGCAAGTATTATCTAATTAATTAATCGTAGAAAAGGAAAACAAAAGATAACTAATGAGAGAGACAAGAAGGACGAAATCTAAAAGAGCAAAGTTAGTAAAGAAGTAGGTGAGAATACATCATAAAAGGATGAAAAAATTGATGTGTGTGATTTTTCATGAAATCATTTTTTGCTTATCACATGACCTAATGAACCTGTAACTTTCCCTACATCGATAGGGACAAACACAATAATTGATGGAAAGGTTGAAAAAAGTATCAATTTTTGTAATGGTTTCATGAAGAAATAATTTAGTACAACACAACAAAACAGCACTTGAAAGCAGCAAAAGGGTTAAGTAGGGACCATTTTGTTGCGAGGTCATAGTCCCGGGACCAATGTAGATGTGCGTCTCCATCAGATGTGACTGACTTTTCCATGAGATTCAAGTCACTAAAAAATAAATATGGAGGATTAAAGTCCACAATATAAAGCTTGCAAGATCAGATCTTGACTTCTTAGTTCACATTTGTAGTGTGCGCATGCAACTACACCTACTGATTTATTTCATCTAACACCTCTTCACTCGCAAAAAAAAAAAAAATTTATATTCTTTTAACTTTTCAAACACTTTAATATAATTATTATTTATTATCTCATTAATATTTTTTTATTTTTTTATAAAATATTTTTTGTTAAAATGATTAGTTATCAAATTTAATCTTTCATTATATAAAATTAAGATAGTTAATAAAAAAATTATTAAATTAATTAACGATCAAATCTAAAATAATTATGAAAAAATAACATACTAATAAAAATATTTTACTCTTAAAATTTTTACAAGAATGAATATTTTTTATGTAACATATATATATATATATATATATATATATATATATATATATATATATATATATATATATATATATAAATATAAAATTTATGTTAAAATTATTGGTATGTATAAAAAAAATAAATAAAGAATTGATTTTTTTTTTATCAATTAAGAGTATTGTTGAAAAATGTCTTATGTAATGTTTTGAATAGATAAACATTTTTAAAAAATATATAAATAGAAAAAAAAACCTCTTTAGAATAGAAAAACTAAATAATTAAAGAAAATTATGAAGGGCTTGATAAAAGGGAAGGTAAAAAAAGTGAAAATTTAAGAAAGCAGCAACTAATAATCCGGTAGCATCCTCAGAATTTTATAAGCAATAATTAGTTCAAAGGTCCGCCTTCAAAAGAAAATAAATATGAACAAAAGGAAAATTATTTTTTGATAAATTAATAAAATCAATTTTCTCTCTCTTTACTGAATCAATCTTTATAGAAAGGCATTTTACCAAATTATTAATGAACATAGAGTGACTTAGAATATTTAGTCAATTGTGTAGGTTGGCTACGTCTTCGTTTATCTAACTTTAGTTGTTCATATTATAAATAGAGATAATATATATATATATTTTTTTATAAGCCATCATTTAATAAAACCCTAATAAATTTTTTTAGTATAGTCATAGAGTAAGCACAATTGCGTAACAACATAAATATCTATATTATATGATTGCTCTTGTCTTTCTATTATATATTTTTATTTAATTCGTTTCCTAACACATGCATGTATAGGCATTATTAGTTAATGATACTATAAGCACATAAAAAAAAATTCGTAGATAATAACTAATGAACTAAGGTTATTGGGCATATCAAACTGTTAAAACATGCTTTTACTACTATTCATTCCTCTTCCCTAAAGACTCTTAGTATCACCATGAATATTCCCGTTCGTCTGCTATCGCCATATGGACTCCCGCTTACTACTCGTCGTATCATCATCTCTTTTTTCAAGAACTATTATAGCTATAACTTCAAAGTCTCCTATGTATATTTAATAACTAGATAAATATATAAGTTAGATAGTGTTTTTATCTCCTACTCTTGTACACTCCTTTATACTTATCTACTATAACAAACTTTGTCTATAAAATAGAGTTTCACAAGTCATAATATACATGCGAAAAAATTCTACAAGTTAAGACTCTCTCATTGCCCTTTAAGTAGGTATCAAAGCTACAAAAGCATTATTGCCATGCTTCCTCTCTACAATTATTCCTTTTTTTTTTCCTTCTTTCCCATATGTCACTCGGTGCTTCTCTCCTCCTCTTTTCTTTTTCAAAACACTAAAATGGCCACTTCTAGCAATACTTCTTCCAATATTGTTACACAAACCAAATTCCATTAACCCTACTAAACAACTCTCACCATTTTCTCTCTCTTAAATTAACACTTATCAATTTTCTCTTATGGCATGTATAGCTAAAACCTTTTCTCATTGGCTAAGGTCTTTATGGCTTCATTGATGGATCACACGCATGCCCTCCTATTCATTTTGCTATTGTTGAATCAAATATCTCACGGGTGAATCCCTCTCACCTTGCTCGGATCCAACAAGATCAACTTCTCATGAGCACCATCATCTTGTCTCTCTCTCTCTCTCTCTCTCTCTCTCTCTCTCTCTCTCTCTCTCTCTCTCTCTCCTTTGATATTCTTTCCAAGATTATTGATCGTACAACTTCCCAAAAAGTCCGGTCTATGCTTGAGCAAGCTCTTGCTTCTCCTTCCAAGCACTCGAATCATGTGATTACATCTTGTCTTGTAAAAACTCCGTCAAGAGTCCACTCGAATCGGTGTCTCAATTTCTCCACCGTGCTAAAACTTACAATGATGGACTGTCCGTAATTGGCCAATCTCTCTCCTCTATTGACTTCAACCTTTATGTCTTCAAGGGATTTTTGAAAAATTTAACGATATAACCACCTCTCTTGCCACTAGAGTTGAACTCGTGACATTCACTAATCTTCATAGCTTTCTTGTTAGCCATGAGTTCCTAAATCGTGATACTTTCTCTGATTACTCCTTAATAACAAGTTTGGGTTTATTACTTACTCCACCCATTACTAACCTCATTCACAAAGCAACTGGCACCTATTATGATTGCTTTAATGCCTACAACTCGTGGAAGAAGATATAGACCTTTTTCAAGGGCAAGGGTGTGGTAGATTTAACAACCAATATGAAAACTATACAACCTCTAAAAGTAAAGGACCTTGGCATCAACATGATCGGTGCACTAAGTGCTAAATTTGCTCTTCCTAGAACCATACTACCGTCCACTACCCTTAAAGGTAGTTTGCTCTTGTTCAACCTTTAGTAAATATCTTTGATGTGTTGTCCTCCACCCGTTATGCACCTTCCTAGTGTTTTGACACTAGTACCTCTCACCATGTGACACTTGACTTCTTAAGCTTCGGTACCTATGAACCATATCAAGGATCCGATCATCTCTAAGTTGGCAATGGTGAATTTCTTCCGATTCGACATATTTGTTCCTGTCATATTGAAACACTAACCAAAACTTTATAACTTCTTAATGTTTTGCATGTTCCCCAAATCACTAGATCATTACTTTCTATTAAAAAATTAGCATGTAATAATAATGTGTTTTGGGAGTTTCACCTTTTTATTTTTTATCTAAAGGATCGGGAACATAGGATAACAATTCTTTCGAAGCTAGAGTGATGTTGATCTATATAATTTAACTCCTCCATTCATACAATCCCATCCCTAAATCCAATATGTTATTATCTCTACAAATGTTTGACACTCCAGATTGGGTAATCCCTATAATAGAGTACTAAATTTTATTTTGAAAAGACATTCATTATCTACCTTTTCTAAATTATCTAGATTCTCGCTTATCTTATCCTTGAGGGAAAGCATGTTGTCTACCTTTATCTTTTTCCAAAAACACAAGTTTTGGTATTTTAAATTTATTTTTTTAGTAATGTATATGGTCCTTCGCCTATCATGTCTCTTGAAGGTAATAACTATTATGTAATATTTATTGATCATTATCCAAAATATATAGGGTATTTTTCCTTACAAAAAAAAAAAAAAAAAAAAAAGCTGATATGTTTGACACTTTCATTAAATTTCAAAAAATTGTTGGGCGCCAATTTAATTGTTAGATAAAACAAGCGTAAACTAATTTGAGGTGGCGAATTTCACACTTTAAATAAATTTTTTAGATCCATTGGCATTATCCATCGTATCATGTGTCCCTATATATGAACAAAATGGGTTAGTTGAAAGGTGACACCGTCATATTATGCAAATCTGCCTCACTTGACTCGATGAAGCAAGTGTTCCTAAAAAATATTGGCATTATGCTTTTGAAACAATAATTTTTCTCATTAGTCATCTACCATCAAGTGTCACCATGAATAAATCTCCCTTTCAAATCATATTTCACAAAAATCTAGACAATTCCTTTATAAGAAATTTTGGTTATCTCTCGTTATCCTTTTCTACGCCCTTACAATAAACACAAAATGAATTTTTAGTCAACTATTTATATTTTTCTTGAATATAGTCCATATCATTAGGGCTATCGATATCTTGATAGAAAAACCAATCTAACTTACATTGCACGGCATGTCTATTTCATTAAGACCATTTTTTCATTTGCTGAAATAGAAAAAATCCATTAGTACCACTATCTAAAACGCTACATCTTCATCTAGTTGGGCATGTCTACCGGTTCAAAATCATTTAATATCTTCACTTTGTGCCTCATTTGGTTCTTATGTCACCAAGCCAAAACACTAACCATTTACCATGCCGAGACACTCGCACCAAAATTTTCAACCTATGAGTCATAACAAATTAGCGACCTAAATCCCTTATTACAATCAAACACATCAAAAAAGCGCCAAACCCATTCACCTCACAACCCGTACCCCATGACCCAACCAATCAACATTCACTTCAAATAGTGCTAACAACCCACCACCTGCCACATCTTTATATAGACTTACGACCCAAAACCCACTCAACCCACAACCCATGCCCTATGACCTAACAAATCGGCCTTCACTCTAAACATCCTCGTCAAAAAGCCCACCACCTCTCACATCCTTATATAGACCAACAGCCCAACAGATCACTTAGCCCACAACTCCGCCCTCACTACATCAACACAACCTATGATCCCTAACCCGACCCAAAGCCCATTACCGACTTCAGCTTGTGTCCTCAAATACAAATATCCCACACTACCTATCTCCTTCACCTCACGACCACACACCTAAAACTCCTTCTCTCTTTCATTTTCCTATTTTTTCTTCACACCCAAATGAAGGATCATGCATCCTATGAAAGTGTAAAATAAAATAAAATTATTTTTCATATAAAGGGCTCAAGATCATCTTTGTTGAATCAATTAACCATATATTCATGAATTAAAGCGTTAAATAAAAAATTACCTCTTGTAGTGCGATTTAAACCTTTGTAGAAAATGAGCTATCCAAGTGTCCGGCTTCTATCAATAATCCATACAGTCCAAGCACCCACAAAAAAAAAAAAAAAACACTCA